ATGTGACATCATCAGCTTTTGAAATTGACGTCAGAACCTACCGACAAGCGGCAGGGGACTTCCTGCGATCGACATTAATAAAAAACTATAGACGTTTTGAATCAAATGATTGTCTGTTAATGATCGAGAACAATTCGTAAACTTTGGTTCTTTATGTTCCTAGACTGCTCTCCATGCTAGCAGACAAGGTTGAATGAAAGAGTTGCAGAATGAATGAATCAATGTCAGTCTATCGACTGAATACTACTGAGCATGGAATAAAGGGGACTTAATTCAGCGCCTTTTTGAGGGCTGACTGGGAGTTTTAGTCAGTATAACTTAAAACTTTTCCGCAGACTCGAGAATAAAGAAAAAAACTCGCGCTGTGTCTCGTCGAAGCACCGCCTTGTGCGTCGCTATGTTGCGCTGTTGCACAGCGTGCGCCGTCCTTTCGAAGTCTCGAGCAAGAATGACAAATTGCATAACTAAAGTGGGCTTCCACTCACAAAAGCTTAAATCATCATAAAACAAAATACTTGTTCTGACTGGTCAATAGGGCCATTTATTTAGCAATGCCGAAATTTAAAATACTAGAGCTTAAGAATGTGTTCTTGAAGGGCAAAATACAAAGGGAAAAATAAAAAGGATGGATAATGGCGAGATAGGCAGCAATATGGACACAGGAAATGGACATTTGGCAACACTAAGATAAAACAAAAGGCGTACTAAAATCTACGTTTACAATTTATTATTGATATATGTACAAAGTAAAAATGTATTCACAGAAATGTCTTGTTATGTAGGAGCTGCTACGAGACCAGCAGGTCCTTTGCCAAGTTGCTGTCCTCCAACATTACTTTCTAAGGGTTTGAAGCCAAGTTCTTCAGTTGGTACACCAAACGAGTTCAGCTTGGCTTCGTACGTCTTTATCAAGTCATTATGAGCCTTTAAAATCAATTGAAGCGTTAAAAAATATCTATCAATTAGTATTTCACCTAGCAGCACATCACCCGTCTTCCTTAACGGTCTTAACTACAACTATATACTCGCAACAGTAGCAAAACTGCCTTATTCCTAAGCTTACCTTACAGACTCTAGCCAGTTCATACTGTAAATCTTTGATCGCACTGTTCTTAGAGTCAAGTACATCCTGAAAGAAAAAGTTATTTTTAAACATTTCCTGAAATTTGTAAAATCTCTTTATTGTATAATTTTAGCAGAAAAGAAAGATCTCTAAAGCTGTGGTTTAGTCATTCTATACCTCTAGTTTTCTAGTAACCACGGTTAAAGCTGTTGGATCCAAATTAGATGCTGAGASAACTTCATTGAGTTGGGCTTCCTGTGTAATGTATGAAACATGATCCATTTTCAAAACGAACATGTAGAAAAGAGTGAAAAMCCTTTAAAACAATTAATGAATACCTTCTTTTCCAAAGTATCAGCTAAAGCAGCCAGGTTTTTCTCAAGTAATAGATTTTTAAAGTTACTCTTCTGTTGAACTTCATGAATGGCTTTGACAAATTTCCCATACAACTCGTCTCTTTCACTTTGAGTCTGAACAACAAAATGTGTAAAAACAAGAATCATCAATTGAGTGAGCTACATTTAACAACAGCGTTTTGTCATATTGAGTGTACGAGTAACTTTGATTTGAATGACAGACAGATGGAATTAAAGAAACAGCGAAATACATGAATTAATAGGCTAAATGAAAGAAAATTCAGTTTATTTGTGTAGTTTATTGCTTTTTCTTTCTGTTGCCCATCAATTCACTTAGTTTTCAATTTCATCCACATTAGTTAAAAAAATGAAAAAATACCTGTGAAAAACGTTGTTGGAGTACTTCATGCTCCCAATGAAGGCCCTTGAGTTCTTCTTCTTGTACTTTTAGTCTTGCTTTAGCACTCTACAAGACAAAATGATTTCATTAAGAGTGCGAGTCAGACATGATCAAAATAATGTGCCATACTTACAGCTAATGAAGCTTTGTCTTTTTCATAGTTGGCAAGCTATAAAGAATTAGAAAAAATGAGGTTATAATCACTAGGAAAGGAAGAGAAATAGGTTTGTAACATGACCAGACAACATGTGTTACTCCTTCCTATGATGCATTGAATGCAAGAAAGAGGAGAACTGGGTCAAGTCAAGTTTTTAACAAAATTCTACCCAGACCTATTCTATGTATGCAAATATCGATTCTTACCTGTTTTCGTAATTCTTCAACTTCCTCTCTTGCCTTCTGTAAAGGTTCTGTCAGACGCTTGTTCTCAGCCATTATTTCATTCATTTGTTTTTCCATCCTTTCTTCTTTCTTTTTCATTTCTTCAACTTGTTCCTATTTTCAAAAAWGATAAATTTAAACTATTTTACATTGCAGCAATACTAAGATTTTTGACAAGTGTTCATTGCCACTCTTTTCATCAACAGGATCTTTGCCTTTGTTGTAATACAGTTGACTGTATTGAATACAATGTAATGTTGTAAGAATTACCTTTAGTGAGTTGATTAGTGCTAAGTTGTTCAAGGTGATGTCATTGTAGTAGTTCTTGATGTCACTGAATGCTTTCTCATGGTTTTTCATGAGTGTATTGATCTGCCCATTTTTACGCTGCATCAAAACAAGATACATTTAATTCACTACTCACAACAACTACTTCAGCACATTAAATATTTGCAGAAAGAGCCTTTTACAAAAAGTCTAACACAAGATACTTACCTCTTCAATCTCATGGATTTCTGTYTTCCTTCTCAACTCCAATTCATCTCGTAAGGATTTCATCTTCTTGTCATATTTTGCTTCAATCTCTGCAGGAAATCAATTTTAACGATTACCAAAATCTTACATATTGTAAATGATTCAAATGATATTAATAATAATTATCATATTATCAAATGCATTAACACCCAGTCATTGCCACAACTATAATCATGGTAAAAAAGAATGATACCATCATCAATATCATCATCATCATAAATATCATCTGTCAATCATTATCATCAGCATCATTACTGATCATCACTAACCTTTAACTTGTCTTTCAAAGTCTTGACCAAGTTTTGTGACATGTTCATCATGATTCTATGGYAGACATGACTGCATATTAAGGATTATTGAGCATTAATGTAAAGACATCAATACACACATACCCTTTTGAGGTTCTTAATGACATCTTCATGGGATAACTCCTGTTCTTTGAGCTCCACCTATGTAATCAACATAAAAAGCTTAAGAGATGCTTTGGGGCTGTAGGTAATCASGTAACTTGACTGTGAATCTGCTCTAYGTACAATCATTCTCTGTTCATTAATAATAAATCCAACTRCTTTTAAGGTGACTCGCCTGAAGTATCAGAAACTACAGGTGATTCACCGTGAAAAGAGTAAAATAGGGTTAAAAGTAGTGCCCAACCATGACATTCTGATAGAGGCTAATAAAAGAGGTCATAAATCCTAAAAAAACAACACATCAGTAGTATAAATACCTTCAGAGAACGTTTATCTTTTCTTAAATCTTGTTCTGAAGTCCGGTGTTCATCTTGAGCTAGTTTTAGTGCAACAGATGCTGAAAACAGAGTTTAAAGGTTTCATACATTTATTTCAAACCATCCAACTTTACTTTATAGAACCAGTAATACAAAAAAAGTAAAACCACTCACACTCTGCTTTAAGCTCAGCAATGTTATTTTGGTGCTCATACAGAAGATGCTTGACTTTTTGTTTATAGACTTTTATTTCAACTTGATGCCTTTCCTCAGCCTCTTCCATTTCMCGTTCCTTGTTTCTTAATTCTGCTTTGGTTTCTTGGTGTTGTCTTTTTGAGATTTCCCAAAATGTATTTACTTTATCTCTTTCTAACTGAAAGTAATTCCTTTCTTCCCGYTCTCGATCCAGCTCATCTCTCATTCTAACTATGTGTTCTTCAAGCTGGAAAAAAAAAGATTAATTTATTTATTATAATTATAAAGTAGTGAAGTTGTTCAGTTGTCCTTCAGTAGCATCGTGTTGTGCAGAATGAATAATTCTGCATTCTTACTAGACAGTGCTTAAAAAAACTGAATTGGTAAGTCATGGACTTCGATTATGACTATGATTACTGGATTGTTATAAACCAAAGTGAGTAATACTTGGCCACATCAGAAATCATTAGACTTTTGCCTTGTGATAATTCAGCATTACCACTCAGCTGATTTCACTACATTTTGGGCAAGGGAGTCATGATGTATGTTAGTATATTGTCTTCTCTATTTTTCGACATTGACTGTCGTGTTTGTACCAGAGTGTTCGATTCWAACCTGTTCTTTACTCATTTCTTCAGTGCTTATTCCATCTACAATGGTAGGAGTYTTAGACTTAGCTGACTTCTTCTTTCCCTTCTTTTTACCACTCTTCTTTTTGGGCGGCTAAAAAGAATGTTGAACAAATTATTTCTACAATTTCTCACAATTTCTTGCAAATTCAAGTAAACTTTATTCGATTGCAAAAAGCATGAATATGACGAGATTTAAGCCATAACTTGAGATAAAAAACATATTTAACTTAAATTTGAAGTCTTTACTTACCATTTTTAAAAGTTCTGTCTTTTAAGGGTTCAAAAAAATGAAGAAAAACTAGTTTTTTTAGCAGTGTTCTTCCTGAATGTTGCTGCTGTAAAATATGGCGACCACTATCACCATAGAAACATGGAAATAAAAATAAAAGTTCCCGGATCAMAGCCGCTGGTCAAAATATACATTTCAATTTCCTCTGGGAGTCCCCTAGGGAAGTTTGAATAATGATCTTTTGAGGAAAATTTACAACATAAAACTTAATGAGAAATTAAAACGCAAAATTTATTAATTGATCTATTTTAATTTTGAATAAGAAAGTATTTTCTGTCATGCATTGATTGTATTGATTGTTTTTGTTTTACTTACCCCCTCCCCCTCTGTCGAAATAACAAAAACATCTTGTGACATCGGTTACTTCCAGGTACTCAAACATTAATGAACATTAAGTCATTTTTGGACTTTTATGCTCCATTTCTTTGCAAAAATGTCGGTTCCTTTTAGTTTTTTTCTTCTTCTTTGCGTCATAGCTGAAGTCTTATCAAAGCCGATCCAGAATGAAACTTCGTTGTTTAGATTTGCTAACATCTTTGGTGATCACATGGTGTTGCAGCAGGCACCTTTTCGTGCTAATGTTTGGGGTTATGGAGAAGTTGGTCAAACAGTTCTTGTTGTTATCGGCAATWTAGCTTATCAAGCTAWAGTTGAAAAAGGTTAGTTTCACATAAATATGGTAATTCATGCACAAATCTGGAATGATAGAATTCTGGAAGGTTTTACTCCCCTTTTACTTTGTGATCGWTGCAATCGATGCATACGATGCAATATCTGGGAATATCTCGGAGAGACCTCATGAGAGGCCTGTTGTTCTTATCAGACTTTCTAGTCACAGGGACGGCAGAGCAGTTTTTAAAGTTTTTAGCGTYCCTCCCATTCCCATCCATCGACCCCTATTGGTGGTCCAATCTCATCTTTGGCTGAAAGTCMCAGAATCACACCATTCACAGTGATTTAATAAGCTTAATGTCACGAAAACTATTTTGATGATCATCTTGCTGTAATGTTTGTTTTATTGTACCATTTTACGTGACATATAGACTCTAAAGGGAAAGGAACATGGAAAGCAAACCTTGATAGTCATAAGGGAGGACCGTATAATATCACAGCCACCTCAAAGGTCAATGGTACTGTACATAACATTACTTTACATGATGTACTATTTGGTGATGTTTGGATCTGCAGTGGTCAAAGCAATATGCAGTTCTCAATTTCTCAGGTGATTAGTTAATGTTTATCAATCAGAGTTTTGTATAATATTCAGATTAATCAATTTGAATAATATTATACCAACATAGGACTTGTATGCCAATAACTTGTATACCTAAGTAAGAACTGATCTAATACATTTCTCCAAGAAGGTAAAATATTAATATTAATGTTTGATCTCTATGTTATTGTATGTACATCTAGGTTGTAAATTTATCTGAGGCTCTTAAAGAAGCAGATCATTATCCTGAAATYAGGCTTTTTACAGCATATCAAGTTCAATCAGATACACCTCTTGACGAGCTGAGTGTYGTTGAACAACCATGGTCAGTTGCTTCTTCAGGTAAAACAATTTATGGGGGGTGGGAGATTGGGGCTAGTATATATCATGGTCCCCTGGTCTTGGGTAGGGTGTTCTACTAGCATCTGGGAATGGTTACCCTGTTTATGACCAAAAAACCCTTAGATCCAGAAATACTCATTTATGACAGGTAACTATCAGGCTGATTCAGCAGATTATTGCTATATAGTCCATTTATTCCCACATTTCCTAACCTGACCCACTGACTTCCCRAATGATTCACAGTTTGCAAGAAACCAATGTTGTGTTTGTTGCAGCTAGTATCAATGGTGGAGTGTGGAAGTACTTTTCTGCTGTGTGCTGGTTCTATGCCAAAAATCTTTATGATAAATACAAGTATCCATTAGGAATGATTGCTACTGACTGGGGTGGCACAGCCATTGAAGTATGGTCATCAGCAGAAGCTCTTGCAACTTGTAACATTACCCAGAAAGATGAAATCAAAATGAGCGAGTATGTKTTATRCAGATATTRTAGAAAATGTGACTTTGAACTCAAATGCTTAGAAGTTAATTTTCCTTAGCTTCAATCTTATGAGGTGCTGCTGGATCAAATGGTGAATGATGAACAYTATSGACAAATAAATSAAACTAAGAATAAAATTAGCACATGGGATAATTTTTGATTGAGCAGATGTTAGGTTTTCACATTSTCTTTTTCTCCACAGTGATTTTATACCTTTTGAAAGTGGTCTAGGTATGGCATTCCCAAATAAACCTTCAGTACTGTACAATGCCATGATYTACCCATTCCTCAAAATGACCATATTTGGGGCTATTTGGTATCAAGGTGAGGCAAATGCAGGTGCACCTTCCWCATACAACTGTACCTTCCCTGCGATGATTGATGATTGGAGAAAGAAGTGGTATACAAATACTGGTGGTTATACTGATCCACTCTTTGCTTTTGGATTTGTCCAGGTACATTTTAGAAATAATTTG